TGGCGCATATGTGGCATGGGCCTTTCAGGGTCGCGGAGACGGTCGATCGGTACGCATTACGGCTGGAAACCGCCGGCACAGAGTACCGACTATTCCCGATTGTCCATGTGTCAAAGCTGAAGCTGGTGAAGAGCTACCCAGAGCGCCCGACATTCACGCTGACGAACCACGAAGTAGATCGCGTAGACTTCGACGAAGGCTTACTGCCCGACGACAGTTGGGAGCGCGAACTTGAAGAGGACGAGTACGAGTTGGAACGGATTGCAGATGTGCGCTCGAGCAAGAAGACTCGATATGGCCGTACACGACGCGAATACCTAGTCTTCTGGAAGGGCTACGCCGAGCCGTCAAGGGTCGATGAAACTGATCTCAACTGTGGAGCGCTGTTAAGAGACTTCGATCGGGGTCGGACAGATCCCAACCGGTTCGAGGCGGTGGATGACTAAGTGGTGGAACATCTGCGGTGGGTTGGCAACTGTGGAGAAGCGAGAGGAAGAAGGATCTGCAGGAAGGCTGCAGATTTCAAGGGGGAGGTGGTGGATATGGAGTGCCGTGGCCTGAATAGGCCAGAAAACCTAGGTAATACACCCTCGAAAGTTCCGGAAGAACAGAAGACGATGCGGATGGATTAAGTCGAGCTAGACCAGACCAGGTCTTCTTAACGGCCTACAAGTTGCTACCCAACACATAACGGCAGGTTGCGATCAGGAAGAGGAGGGCATGAACTTGCCACGCAAGCAAGCGATCCCAAGCGCCGGGTGGTCCTCTGGCACGTCACGATAGTGATTGCGCCAACGATCAGCCGTGTCCGCGATGGTCAAAGCCGCCAGTAGATCGGCAGAATCGGCTCCGTCCTCGACCCCGGGATACCAAGCACCAGCCTCACCAGGTCGGGGAAAATGCAGGAAGAAGGGACCAAGCAACAAGTCGAGGTCGCAGTAACCACGGATTAAACCGATCAGCACCTGTTGGAGGAACGACTTCCACCTGGCGCCGGCTCTGGACCGACGTTGCTTGCGATCGGTGTAGAATGCATCCAGGTACCGACTGGCCCGACGTTTGGCGATGCTCACCGGAAAGGCGTGAGTGGAGTCCCAATACGCCCGGAGATGCTCATCCTCGTAGGACGCGAAGATTCGCATCATGTGACGGAACCAACCTCGACCTCGGAACGCGAGAGGAGCGACTTGGCAGCAAGGATCTCCCACGGAGCAGACTCGATCAAGTTGCGCACGTTGCTCTCGTCCACTAGATCGTCTCGCCAGCCTCCAAGCGGAGGCGGAGAGGGATTAGCCATTGCATCGGCTTGGCGAAATGATGAAACAGCAGATCCGCGTCCATCTCCACGATACTTGTCTGGCGAATGTCCTGCGCAGACCTGGGGACGATATCATGGCCGTGGAAGTTGCAGTGAGCATGATAACCGGGGATCCACTCCGATCGAGGAACCGTGGTAGGCGGCAGATCCGCCAGTTCAGCGTCAGATAGGGGACCGGATGGTATTCTAAACTGGTCGCGGCCGTGACTCAACTCTGGAGAACCACTGTCGCTCTCCGCAGTGTCCGAATCGAACTGGATTTGGCAGAGGAACTCTCGCCACCGTCGGAGAGCGACTCGGACGTTGCAGGAGGGAACGAAGCGTTTCCGCTGCCATCCTGGGTGTGCGATCGAGTAGATCGAGGAAGATGATCAGGAAGGCCAGCGAACGAAGGAGACGACACCGGCTCCTCTGCCTTCTGGCCGGCGGCTACGTCAGACAACACCTCAATCGAGGATCTGGACGTAGGGCCTTGACTCAAGGCGGCAGCAGGGAAGGGACCTGGAGTTGATCGAGCAGCCTTGGGGAGGCGAGCGGGCGGAGCAGAACAATCGGGCTCAAAGCTGCTCGTTTATGACCCAGGGTTGAAGGGAGTAGGGACGCAATGTTCGACAACCTCTCCTGCGCCTGGTCCCGTTCGGCCCGTAGATCAGTGACCTCCATGAAACGCTCGCCAAGCTGGCCGAACAATTCATCTCTTTGGACTACCAGACCGTCTCTCTCCTGCTGAAGCGCTGCGTGTGCAAGCTCGAGATCCTGACGCGACTTCTGAGACTTCTCGGCTTGGTTAATCCGCTTTTCCAGCCGGGTGATAGTGTCCCGAGTCGCTGAGACAAGAT